ATGTTATATATGTATATATATATATATATATATATAACATGATTATATATATATATATATACGTGTATGCGTTAAACAAACCTTAGCAAGGTATATATTTACAGCTTCCTTGTTTGTTGCCTGGTCGAGCGGAAGAGTTAGGCTGAGTATATTATCAGTCGTCGTTGAGTACCGAACTTTCCCGGTTGCCCCGCACTGTAACCTCTCTTCGACTTGATACCTGTCAATATGCAAAGACGATAAACCACGTGTTAGTTTTGAGGTTTTACTTGTGCTCCTGTTGACCTGCGTATATGTAGGAGCATTGGTGATAGCAATACACCTTGTCCCTGCTGAGGTGCGATAATTGATGCATGAATACCTGGGGGTTTAGAGTTTTAAGGTTTTAGAGTTTAGAGGATGCTTACATACCCAGCTACCTTCTACATACACCCAGCAGAGTCTATCACGTACACCGTCGCAAACTCTTCTCTGCTGATGTTGTAGGCATAGACAAGCACTTTACTTAAACCTTACCACTAGACTGTCATGAGTCACTCAGCCGCTCTCTCTTACCACTAGACTGACATGGCTACAAACCCTAAACCTTATAACCCTTAAACCCTGAAACGCAATACTTAATGCGAACTGTTAACGGCCTATCTATAGACGCGGCATTTTCTTGAACTAATCCTTGCGGTGCTTACAAATCAGTAATACCTGAACAAATGCTCCAGGGGTACATCCTTATCAGTATTTTTGGACCCCGTTGCCCTGGTTTGCTTCTCGCTGATAGTCAGAAGATACTGGAAGAACTCCAGTGCATCCTGTATGATAAGTGTATGATAAGTGTATGACAAGTGTATATATGATAAGCGTATGATAAGTTTACGATAAGTGTATATATGATAAGTGTAGGATGTTGTATGATAAGAACCTCAATATCGTAAACAAACTACACAATGACGGTCCGAACTGCAGTATACCAAGGGCATATGGGCAGTCCCAATAGGCGAGTGAATAGACAATCAGGGCCAGATACATGCATGTGAGGGGACATTTCTAGATACTCTGGTGCAGACCGACATTCAACGGAATGAGAACGCAGAGATGTGAAAGTGGTCACCAGATCATCAACAGTCCTAAAATTGTTGTACTGGTGTGCAAAACTTGGGCCGTCCGTGCAACTTACGTATCGACACCCTTTGACAGGTCCTCAAATCATTAAAGGACTATGATTAAAGGTTTAAGGTTAAAGGTCTATTTTTGAAGGTCAATGATCAATGGGTTAAAACTAAAGGACTAGTACTTAAGGGTCTATGGTTTAAGGTCTAAAGTGAAAGGTCTATGGTTAAAGGTTTAAAGTTAAAGGTCTGTGGCTATAGGTTAAAGTGAAAGGACTATGGATAAAGGTTTAAAGTTAAAGTTCTAATACTAAAGCTTTATCTTTAGTCTGCGGTTTCAAGGTCTATGATTAAATGTATATTCCATGGTCAAAGGTCTATGATTAAAGATTAACGATTCAAGCAGTCAAAAGTATGCACACCAATTATAGGGTCTTTAGAGCTCGAGTAAACCTTAAAATCGGTCATGGCAGACAAAAGTATGCTCACGCACACACACAATCGCCCAGGCACACCTCAGCGTACGGCTACGGTACACAAATGCACTCACGCCACCGTATGTAGCCATGCCTATATCCACTACTACCCCCCACACACCACCAAAACCCTCACCACCAACCACCCCACCTCCGGCCACTCCGGTCCACAATGTGTTTCTAACGGGTACACTCGCACACAAATGCACATAGGCAACGGCATAAGTTGATAGAGCCCATGCAATGTGCGTGAAGGCTTACAACGCAAACTTGGTTATTCCAAGGCAGCCATACGGATGAAGACACAAGCCCTTGGTATACATGCATGCTACATCTATCCATCTACATACGTCTACCCACACTAGACGACCAATATCATACACACATAACCCCTACCCATCTGTAGACATGTCTCTACTCCCCCTCACACACACACCCGGCGAATAGACCCACACACCTGCTGACGGCTGTTGCTGAACTCCGGATGGCCTCTGCCCACCACTGTCTTAAAACTGCTGGGGCGTATGCCATTGGTGTCTTCTGGTGGAGTATCGCCTGCTCAGCCAAAGGGGTGCAAGGATGAGGCATGATACAAAGAGGGCGAAGCAACAGATACATACACATATACACATATATACACAAGTTTAAAACACATACACATATATACATAGTATACGCGTACAGAAACACCCATGTACTCCCCCGTTAGTCATGGATAGTCAGAAAACGTACCAACAGGTGTCTTAGGTGATTTATGTGTATATGTCTGTGTGATCGTGTGTGATTGTTTGTGCGTGTGCGTGCCTGAGTAATCCATGCTTCTCGTTCACCTTCACTGGTCGGTGGCACTGGCTTCGAGCCATGTCTGTGTGTGTATGTGCGTGTGTAAGTGTGTGTGATTGTGTGTGCCCGTGTGTGTGTATGTGTGTGTATGTGTGTGTATTCGTGTGTGTATGTGTGAGTGTGTATATGTGTGTGTGCCTGTGTGTGCCTGTGTGTGCCTGTGTGTGCCTGTGTGGGCTGTGTGTGTGCGTGTCTGAGTAATCCATGCTTCTCGCTCACCTTCACTGGTCGGTGGCAGTGGTTTGGAGTATGCGCCTGACAACAACCCATAAGACAGCTTGTTCAACTGCACATTAAGGTCATTCACTGGGTCGCTCACATGTGAGCCGTAGTCAAAGACTGCCTCCTTAGTGGGCGTGAAGGTAGAGGCATACTCGGGGATGGAGAAGAGCAGCTGCATGGTGGATGCCAGGTAGCAGCTGTTGCCAAGGTTACGCATGCCTGTGTATCCGGGTCCATATAGGGGCACCAAGTCGTGGCCACTGTAGAAGTGAAGAATATCGGACAAATGAAACCCCGTTATGTACGGTGGGACACACACTCACACATATAAATTTATATATATATACACATATATATATATATACGTACACACACACACACACACATATATACATATATATATATATATATATATACCTACCCACCACACGTACATGCACACACACACACACACACACACATGTATATATATATATATATATACATATATATATATACCCACACACAAACACAGACACAAACACATAAGTGAGTGATGTTATTAGTGGGTTCAATGATAGTTGGGGGTCTTGATATATATGTGAATGTACACGTAGAAAGTACTGGTTATGCGATGTCTTGAGTATCACAGCAAGCGGGTGCACTAAGCTGTACCCCCAGGGCAGGTAGGTGCAGATCTCAATACGTATCAAATACGTAAACGCTCTGTGGCCACCCCACATCCCATAGTTATTTACAACTGCAGGGCAGAGCAAGTCGAAGTAGACAGTTCAAACGGATTTGCGGCATGAGCTACGCGAGTGAGTGCCAACGAGTCCCTAATCTCAAGTGGACCGAGAAGGAGAGAACTGGGATGTGCTAGTATATAATGGCCAAATGGTGGGTAGCAATAGGGGGTAGCAATATAGCAATAAGGGGTAGCAATGGTGGGTACGTACGCAATTGCCCTGGGTAGGTGTGCCGCCAATCGGTGTATGAGGACCAATGCACATGTAGTTGAATGCGTGGGCTCTGTGGCCCACAGCCCTGTCCACATATGAGCACACTCGGACATGGGTGGACAGTCCCGCCCATGCCCCTGTAGAACTCTAGACTCAACTGCAGGACACTACCTAGTCACATCGCTATCGTATACACAAGCATCCGGATGAAGCCCCAGAGGTATCTACCCCATACACATGCGCACACACAGGCCCCTCCCGCGTGGCAACACACCTCTCGGTCACCATGCTCCATTCATGCTTCATATTCTGCTCCAGTTCGAGCTCCGCCATAGTTTTCTCTGTCTTCTCAACAGTACAGCGGTGTGTACGCATGCAACGTAATGGTATCGAGCGAGTGCGTGTGAGTACTAAAGTATGTGCATGCGAGTACAAAAGAAGGTGCGCGTATGCCTGACCCCCCCACAGATTCAAGACCTACCCTCCAGTGAGACAATCAAGTCGTCTCCGAAAAATCGATCGCATGACGCACACAGATGCGCAATAGATCGTCCGGCGCATATTCTCTCTCCTAACATTGGCGTATACCCCTATGATGACAGTATACACACCCAAGCACCATAACCACAAACCACTCCCCAATTCTCTCACCCACCTTCTCCATATTGACCATGTTGATCCCAAAGTGCTGTAGCTGCAGCCCCAGGTGTGGGTTGAGCACCATGTCATCGCATACATAGCAGAACACGTCGCCGCCATCCGCCGAGATAGTACCCATCTTCACAGCCAATGGTTTGTTAGTCTCTGTGTAGTACTCCAGTGCGTGACCGTTGCCTCCGGTGCCGTCGAAGTTCATGCGACCGCACAGAATGGTTCCGTCCTGCAGATTCAGCCTGTGTAGGTAGGGCCTTTTGGTATTAGTCTATATAGGTTTGACTGTGTGAAGTTAGGTTCGTGAGACTGCGTGTAGGGCCATTTGGTATTAGTCCACACTCGGACGGCTGTGGAGATACGTTTTGTGAGACACTGATGGGGCGACACATCGCGATATGTGATGAAGTGTGTCGGTTAAAGTGTGAGAGACAACTCTGAATATCTCCACAAACTCTTCCATATCAAGATAACAAAGAAGAAGGGGTGCACTGTTAATACACACGAATATTAAAGACGAAAGGATGGACTCATAATACACACGAATATTGAAGAAGGAATGGACTCATAATACACACGAATATTAAAGAAGGAATGAACTCATAGTACACACGAATACTAAAGAAAGAATGGACTCATAATACACACGAATATTAAAGAAGGAATGGACTCATAATACACACGAATATTAAAGAAGGAATGGACTCATAATACACACGAATATTAAAGAAGGAATGGACTCATAATAACTTAATTCAAGGGCTGTCCTTGCAATAAAAAGGGTTCCCCAAAGCACCTCACCAGAGATTGTCGTCTTTGTCACATTTGATGCATTTGTGATGTCCGGATGAAGGGATGGTGACATTGTTGTCTATTTGCTGTAAGTTGCGCGCGTGCTCACATTCCTGGCGCATTTCCTGAGAATGACAAATGAGATGAGACAGCTCATGTTTAGAAAGCGTGTGCACAGGTCTGTGCGTACAGAGTGTGTACAGTAGACTGATGGGTGGCATGGCATTCTCCTGTGTGTGCCCATAACTTCACTGACATGCCAGGCTACAGTACTTAACTAATCTTAACTAACATGTCAGGTTGGAGTACCTAATTGACATGTCAGATTAAAGTACTTAACTGACATGTCAGATCAAAGTACTCAACCGACATGTCAGGTTAAAAAACCTACTTGATATGTCAAGGTTAAAGTACTTAACTGACCTGTCATGTTAAAGCACTTAACTAACATGTCAGTTTAAAGTACTCAACTAACATGTCAGGTTAAAGTACTTAACTGACATGTCCGATTAAAGTATTCAAATAGTGCGTCAGTTTAAAGTACTTAATAGGCATGTTAGGTTAAAGTACTTAGCTGACATGTCATGTTAAAGTACTTAACTGAACCGTGGCAGACCGTGCACTCTACGCTTGTGTGGATGTGAGGCTATTTCCGAGATCACAACTCACCGTAAACGTGCCTCATGCACACATATGAGATATCACACAGTGGCACAGCACCCAATAACTTGAGTGTTATCTGTGGGTGCGTGTATATGACAAGCAGTCGCTTGAACCCAGGATTCGCTAGGCGATGAGAGGTGTCTATCGTATACTTGAACATGCCAATACGCACCGCTAAGGAAAGCCTTCGATATGGCATCTGTATCATCCATTATCTACATGCAGGTATCCACATATACCTGTGGGTGTCATGCACAAACGCTTATAGCGCTCACTCGCTGCTATAAGGATACCAGAAAGACGCTGCTGCCAATAGTCACGTGTACTGTCATGTAGTATAACCAGATATCGAATGAACACTCACAACTCAAAGGAGAATCCACACGCTCGACAGTAAGATACACCGTGCTATACCACAGGAGACTACCAGCACAGAAGTTCGGTACTTAGATGCATGCACTTCGTCTGTCTACCCCCACTTGATTAAACTAAACTAAACTAAACTAAACTTAAATTAAACTGAACTAAACGTGTTGTGTACCAAACAGACACGCACATCTCTGAGGGGTTTGTATCCAGCTGCTAAGTCATAATGTCGCGTGCATGTGCAGCGTTATGGCTGTCAAGAGGGTGTGTTTCCAGGACTATATCAAACTTGTATACGGTTGCTCATTCAAAAAAAGGCCGCAAACCCTAAACCCTGCGTATTCAGGCAGCACATTAACGCTGTTTCAAACACCACGCACTTGCCAAACCACACTCTCTTCTAACGCGTGCGGCGCTATCGCTCACTAGGATGAGTGGCCCTGAGACAAAACTACTAGTAAGCGAACTAGTACTATATACTAGCATATAAAATATATTATATACTATATACTAGCATATAAAATATATTATATACTATATATTAGCATATAAAATATATTATATACTATATACTAGCATATAAAATATATTATATACTATATACTAGCATATAAAATATATTATATACTATATATTAGCATATAAAATATATTATATACTATATACTAGCATATAAAATATATTATATACTATATACTAGCATATGAAATATATTATATACTATATACTAGCCTATAAAATATATTATATACTATATACTAGCCTATAAAATATATTATATACTATATACTAGCATATAAAATATATTATATACTAGTATATGACCTATTAGCTATATACTAGTATATGACCTATTAATTATATACTAGTATATGACCTATTAACTATATACTAGTATATGACCTATTAACTATATACTAGTACATGGACTATATACTATATACTAGTATATGAACTATATACTAGTATATGAACTATATACTGTATACTAGCATATGAACTATATACTATATACTAGTATATGAACTATATACGATATACTAGTATATGAACTATATATTATATACTAGTATATGAACTATATAGTATAGACTAGTATATGAACTATATACTATATACTAGTATCAGGATATGAACTAATATCATTCAACGAAACAGCCATAGATCAACTACGGCACTCCCTAGCGGCAGATACAACCCATCGAACACTGCACACCTACCAAGCCACACATACGGCGCCATGGATTTTTATTGGGCGGAGGATAAATTCTAAATATAGACACTCCTACAATCCAACGAAACACCAAGGATTGGCTCCTGCACACCCGGAACGTACACACCTGCCAAGCCATACTCTCCTCCACACGTGCGGCGCTATCGCTCTCCAGAATAGCCTGAACGGTACGACGGACTAGAGTGTGCATATCTGGGTCATCCCCGCTATATGCGACAACAAAAACAAAAACACATACTTGAGATGGTTTCAAAGGACTGCCAAAAGTGAAGTACGGAAAAGGGTAAATGTCTCATTCTACGGCAGTTTAAGGTCAATATGCGTGTACAGGAGATAAGGGTAGGTATGTTGTTGATAACTTATAAACGCAG